CCTGGCGGGAGTGGCTGCACCTTAAACCTGGCAGGAGAGCTGCTGTTACGTGTCACTGGCCCTGGGAGGCTGCAAAAAGGGTGGTTATCATCATCATCATCATTACTTCTTTTTATTCTTCCGCTTCCAAGCCAGTGCTGATGCCTCCTGGTAGAAGAGGGAACCAGATACAAGAGTGAGGAAAGGGCTGCAGCCACATCATGGTCTCCTCTTCCATTTCTCTGTTAACTCTGTGAGGATTCCTTAATGCAGTGGTTTGCAAACAGGTGCAGAAGCCCTGTTCTTCCCAAAGAATCGAGGGGAGGAAAAAAAAAAATATTTTTATTCATGTGATTGATGAACAGATGAAGGAAACTTAACACACAATAACAGGAGCCGATCATTAATGTCTCACGTCCTAGTTTTCAGCGCTTGGGTCAGCAGGTGACTTCTGCAGGGCTTCTCCCCAGTCGTGGCTGCTCTCGCTTTGTCACTAGCACGGGAACATCAATGATGCGTCTGTCCAAAAGCAACGTTACAAATTTCGTATCAAATTCTTTTTTTTTAGTTCATTTATAACTTCTTTTCCAATGTCTCTTGGTCCCAAGTTTATGGAGTGATTTTTTTTTTTTTTTTTTTTTAAATTAGCTGCTATTGCTCGTTGGGATGTTCCCTGTTGTCCCCGTGTTTTGTGGGCTGGTTGGGAGACGGAGCTTGGGAAGGATGTGCCACCGTGGGAAGGGTGTGAGTGACGGGGATGCCTCCGGGAATGATGCCCCCACCCGCTGCAGGGGCCGCGGAGAGAAGGAGCGGCAGAGGGGTGGCTTCTCTGCTGGAGCCGACCACGGTTTCTCCTTTGGGTCACCAGGGCCAGCTCAGCCTTGAGCCAACACTGCCGTGAGTCAAAGCTGCTGCTGGCTTTCATTTAACGCGTGTCACCCCCTCCGTTCCCTGCTGGTGGCTGCTTCAGCGTCCCATCGGTGCAGCGACACTGACAGCGGGGGCAAGACACGCAGCTGCCGTCACCTCACGAGGTCAAATTGCACAAACTGAAGCAGAGGAAGTTCCAGCTGAACATGAGGAAGAACTTCTTCCCTCTGAGGGTGACGGAGCACTGGAACAGGCTGCCCAGGGAGGCTGTGGAGTCTCCTTCTCTGGAGATATTCCAGACCAGCCTGGACGCGGTGCTGTGCAGCCTGCTCTGGGTGACCCTGCTTGGGCAGGGGGTTGGGCTGGGTGACCCACAGAGGGCCCTGCCAACCCCACTGTGCTGTGATTCTGTGATTCTGAAATTGTTTCGTTCGGAATGGGCTGCAATGGGCACTGGCGTGGGCTTTGCGCTCAGGCTGGAAGCAGGGATTTGCAACCAAAATAGGTTTGTGTGCTGGCACTGCCTGAGGAGCCGCTACGCTCTGTGCTTTGAAAGGAGAGGAAACGGGTTTTACTGCTTTAGAATACTCACATAGGGAAAAGCCCCAAACACTCCAGCGACAGAGGAGAGATGAGGAAAACCACGATGATGCTGGAGTTGGCATTTTCTATTAAATACGAGGGTATTTTATATGAAGCCAGCTTGTCCTAAACCTTTATTGCGTTGTTTGCCTGAACTGGATGCTTTTAACACTAAAAGTACCTTAATAGGGATATGATAACAAAAATCTGCAGTAACAAGTTCCTCGTGCTGAACTGCGCGAGGAGACAAATAATTCTGCTGGTCAGCTGAGGGAGAAGAAATGAACAGGTCTAAACAGACTCCGGCCGCTACGCAGAGCCTTCTCGCCAGGAGAAGGCTGCTTTTCTCTTCTGGGGGCCCTGATCCTGCAGTGGGGAGAGCTGAGCTTAAAGCCCCCGGGCTGGAGCCAGCGTTTCCTCGAAGTTTTGAATTAACCGAAACCTTTATGCCTGGAATTGAAGTTTCTTGTCAGCAACACCGAACCGCTCAGCTTTTTTGAAAAGCTGTTTGAGCAAGGAATCACTTGCCTTGAGAGTGCTTTGCCCAAAGAGCTGTGCGCGCTGCCGGTGAGGTGAGGCAGCCTCCTGGCAGCCCGTTAATAGATGGGCACCAATCAATCTCCTTTAACAAACCAAATGCCCTTGGCAAAAGGAACCACGTCAGACCAGAAGCCAGCACGAGAGAACGTTTATGTACAGAGGAGAGGGAGGAATCCCTTCTGGGTGTGAGCATGATGTGCACGAAGGCCGGTGGCCGTGGTCCCTGCGGCTGTAGCACTGCTTGGCCTCCCTGGCACCAGTTTCTCCCTGCTATTTCTCTCCCTGTTCCTTTTTATTGCCAGGCTCTCCTTCTTCAACAAGGGCAAGGGCAGGGTCCTGCACCTGGGGAGGAACAACCCCAGGCACCAGTACAGGCTGGGGCTGACCTGCTGGAGAGCAGCTCTGCGGAGAGGGACCTGGGAGTGCTGGGGGACAACAGGGTGACCATGAGCCAGCA